TTCATGATTGCAAGCACTAAAATAGCTCGACATTGTCAAATTATAGATTCGGATACGCACTCACACCCCCGGCTGACCCGTTCAATTCATCTGTGCGATGTATGGATCCGATGTTGGGAATGCTTCAGTCAGATAATTTGCAAAAGGATGATCAATCAACGACTACAGTAGCCAAAAACGGGTGGGTGTCAGTCATAAATAAAGTTATCAATCTGCATCAAAGCACCAAGAATCTTTTTTTCAAATTCAAAATCTTCTGATTTGTGTCTTTGAGGTGTTTGATAATTCAGTTATAAATAAGATCACCACAATAAAAGATTATGGCAGTGTGGTGCTGAGAAGCGGGACTTTTACGGATTCCCGTTCCCATTGACATTGCCGTCCTTACAATACACTTCGTTATTTGGCAGATGGAATTCTCGAGAATTAAAGTAATTCTCATTACTCCTCACATGAGTTGCAACATGATGAGTGTTTATTTCAGTGCGACTAAACAGGATGATAGTGATCTTGCGGGCGAGGCAGAAGACGATGATATGGTTGATGAGGATGACGAAGAAGGTTTGATTTTTAAAATTGACGACAATACAAATATTTTTAGTATCGCAATTAAAGAAGTGTCATATTCGAGTCACTGACTTTTAATGATACCACCTATCCTGTAGGTAAATTGATAGAGGATGGTTCAGAACTGATTATTGCATTGCTGCAGACAGACAATTCAGCATAAGGCTTTCATCAATTGCATTGCATAATGGTTTTAACTGAAGATGCAATTGTATTGTTGTAGATCGACAATTCAGCATTTAGCATAACATTCCGTCCATCTCTAAACCTTGATCTCTCCGGTTAGAAGCGATTTATGCCTATAGGAATCTGAGGAGGATCACTCTTATAATTTTCATTTCTTACTATTTTCGTATAACTCAGAATCACATGCATACCAGAAGTATCGCTGAGATGTAATAAGAATTGTTAGGTTGGATCTGATGAGACGCATTTGTATGTTATCACGAAATTTGAGCGAAAATCGTGATAAGTTCACAGAGCTCAGTCATTCACAGTAACTTTTAATGTCAGGCAGCGTTGGAGGTGGAAAGAAAAAACGACGAAAGAGACGTGTGCTATTCACGAAAGCACAAACCTATGAACTAGAGCGACGATTCCGCACCCAGCGATATCTATCAGCACCAGAGCGTGAGCAGCTAGCCATGCAAATTCGTTTGACACCGACTCAAGTGAAGATATGGTTTCAAAATCATCGGTAAGTACTACGATCAGCTGACAATTTTCAGCCGTTCCATTCACATATCCCAGTTTTTTGCTAAGTCTACTTCGGAACCCGGCAACATGCTTACTTGTTCAGTTCATGCATTTAATGGTGGTAGTATGGCGCTTTGTGCTGCAGAGAGCAATTCTATGACAACTCCAGTGATCGAATGTCCCAGGGGAATACTTTGAGTAAACGAAAACACGGCTACCTTCACAATTCGGTAGTGCTTGCGCATTTTGGAGTTCTGCTGTGAATCATTATATTGGCGAACCTCATGCTTTGGGTATTTTTATTACCATGTACGGAGATTACAAATGCAAACTTGCTCAATGATAATTCTTCAAATCATCGTTTTCATTCCAATTCCACGTTGTTGACTCAGAATTATTTGTGATAATGTATAATAATGTATCTGTTTAACACAGTGTTTCTCATAGGGGGTGAAATTATTCATTTTGGGTAATTTGGAGGTGTCAAGGGGTAATGGAGGGGTCGGGA